AGCCTAGGCGCAGAGAAAAAAAACGTCCAGGCCATGCGACAATTGCGGTAGCGCAGGGCACCAAAAATGGAATCACCCTAAACGCCAGAAACAGCCGACTGAAAAGGTTCGGGGTGCTGAGAGCAAGAGCTTAGTGTAACACGTTTCGACGGGAGAGCCGGTGGTAGCGAACAGTGACCTTATCACCATGTCACTCGATTGTAAGGATAGGCATATCGGGGCGGTTTTGGACACGGAGCGGAGATCTCTGTGTAAAGTCTGTCGTCACAGGCCAGGGGAGTCAGTCGTCCTTGTCGCAAAAGGGTGCGCGTCACAAGGAGCCGCTCGAGAGACGATAATCCCGGCGTAAGGACGCCCGTTCTGGTAAGAAGGCCGTGGTCGGTCGCCGTTTTTAACAACCAGGAAGGTGGTCCATGACCAGCGGAGTGCCGGCGGGCAACGTGAGGACATCTGGTGTATCGACACCCATCCGTCTGGAGTAGAGTCCGCGAAACGGTTGTCACTATGGACAGCGTAGTCATCCCGCAGTAATGGCATGGACCTGCAGCCGGACGGCGCCACCATCGCGTGCGTTCGCACAATTCGCGAAACGTCTTGTGTAGGCCGTTTTTTTCGTGTCTCTCTCTCAGATCGGCTGGTCAAGTGCTTGAAGAAGAGAGCGAGAGGAGAGGACGGCAACAAAGTTGTTTATTCTGTCTAATAAACGGGCTGAATTGCTTCGGTTGGCCGTGAGGAGAATTGGGAGGGGCAACCGAGGGGTTAAAACCTGGCTCCCGTTTCCTCACGGTCGTTCTAATCGCAGCAAATAGTCTCTGCTGAGGCATCATGCGACAGTTCCAACGGTGAAGAGGCGTGTACATAAGATCTATAGAATAATTCCTGTAAATAAAGTCGTGTTGTAACGTCTCGAAAGGCACCGGTATCCATGCTTGACAAGCAGCAACGACAAGACAAGACGGACACCATGCAACCAACCTTGCACTCCCTTCTATGGCAACAGCTGCTACGCAGCTGGGGGAGCTCTGCTCAAGGGATCAGAGGAAGTAGGTAGAAGGTTGAGTTTTACTAGCACGGAGATGCTGCTCATGCTCTTGGAATTCGGCTGGCTATGAGGACATAGTCAACGTACGCAAACACAGTAGGAAATCCTCGTGTCACCTCAGAAAGTAACCGCTGGAAGGTTGGAGCCGAATTGCGCAGTCCAAAAAGCATCCGCACGTATTCAAACAAACCAAAAGATGTCGGGATGGTGGTATTAGGTACGTCGACAGGCGCAAGGGGAATCTGGTGGTAGGCTCTGACAAAGTCCACTTTGCTGAAAATCTTGCAGCCGTCGAGGCGTGATGTAAAATCTTGGATATGAGGTAAGAGATAGCTGTCGTGGACAGTCTTGGCATTCAATGCTCGATAGTCTCCACATGGACGCCAGTCACTGGGAGCAGGCTTTGGCACTAATTGCAGCGGAGAAGCCTAAGCGCTTGAGGACGGGCGTATACTGCCAAGCTGTAGCATGTGCTCAAACTCCCGCTTGGCGATCACTAAGCGGTCTCTAAACAGGCGGCGTGGCCAAGCGGCTACTGGTGGACCATGGGTGACGATGTGGTGTGTTACCACATGTTTAGGCAGCTGAGTGATATTACATGGTTTGGTCAATTCTCCGAAACTCCTCAAGATTTCTTTCGACTGGTGAGAAATCAGCATGCGGATGTCCATTGGAGCAATGTCGGACACAACTCTAGATACGGAAAGGCGAGTCTGACCATCGGCGAGGCGTTGACGCCTCACGCTGATGTCTAAGTCAAAGTCTGAGAGGAAGTCTGAATCGATGATCTGCTGAACGACGTCTGCGATGACGAAAACCCACCAGAAAATGCGGCGAAGACCAAAGTCAAGGGCGAGAGAGCGGAGTTCATACGTCGCTATTGTAGAGGCGGCAGCACGACGCGATTAATCAGGTGACTTCAAACGATCAGCCTCATTCGGGAACACAACGTTAATTTCTACGCCCGTATCTCTAAGAACTTGGCGCTGGATAGCCGATCTATTACCAGGAAAAGGTGACTGGGACCAGAAGGGACACCTCACGCCGCCGTCAGTGATCTCGGCGAGTGCTTCCCGGTTATGAACAGGGGTGTTTGCACCTTGTGCTTCAGTGTCCGAAACGCCAGTGGTACGAGCAGAGAGGCAGAGGGCTGAGACTCCGAGATTCGTTGTCCGTCGAAGAGCTTGATTATTGGACCGAGGCGAATGAGTCTCCGGGAGGGGGCTTTGGAGTGCAGCGGCAATTGAGGCGGAAAGTTCATCGATCCGAGCCCCAAGTGGAAAACTCGCCGTGCCTGTTGGTGGTGAGACAGCACCTATAGATGGGGTGGTGAATTCGTGAACCTAATAAGCGAGTTTCGCCAGTCGGTCAAGGTTGACCTCACCGGCAGCCACGACAACGAGGCAGATTGGCTAAGAAAGACGTTGGAGGAAGAGCTCGCGAAGCAGCGCTGAGTGGGCAGGGACGTCAGGCTCCCCGAGGAGCTGTCGCGTTTGGCGGTTCGGCACATTAGTTGTGAGGGGCGCCTGCCACCAAGGTCCCCCTATGCAAGGAGCTGCTGAAGACGGACGAGTTGCGATGGCATGAATCGCTTCATCACCTTAGTCTTGAGGTGCGGATATGGCCTAGTGTCCGAGGGGTTGGAGAGGACATCAGAAAGCTAACTGGCAACATCAAGAGGAAAGGCTGTGGCGACGTGGCAGTAGCGTGTTCTCTCCATAGCGAGGTGGTGCAGCGAGAGCTGCGCCTCGACCTTGTGGAACCAAGTTTGCGGGTTCTGCGGTCAGAAAGATGGGAGGCACAGTTGCACCACCAAGACATCATGCAGACGTGAGGCTTGTCAGTTGAGGGCACGTTCGGTTCAGTGATTCGTGTTTTCTTGGTCACCACTTGTAGGCTTAGGCCATATGAGTGAAGGAAAGACACGCCTGAAAGACAATCGACGCCAGCAGGGGACGAGAGCCTTCGCTTCACGTGCAATGCACTGCCATGCGCCGTCTTTACTTTCTTCCGTTCGCTGCAGCATGCTCTTCGTTTCGCCCACCGTCCGAAGGAGGGAGCTGCAACTTAAAACTTTCATCCCTAGTATCACATGCCTGGAGCAGTGCTGTACAATCACAAATCTGGCGGTGTAAGTGCGGTTATTGATGGTAACTGTTGCTGTGAAAACACCTGCCGGCGTTATTAGATGACCCCTAGTGGTGCGGAATCAGGGCTTTGCAAAGCAGCCTTCACTTTGTTGAAGTTTTTTGCGAAACGGCCACTGACGATGGAATAGTCGGCCCCAGTGTCGACGAGAACGGTGACGTTGTGGCCATCGAATATTACGTCGAGGTCGCTAGTCGGTCGTCGTGGAAGAAAATAGCAGACTACAGATCGATGGTGAAACTGGCGCCGCTGTGGTGGTGTTGTGGGTAAAGTACGCGGCTGCTGACACGCAGCTCGCTGGAAGGAATTCCGGCTGCGGCAGCTGCATTTCCGATAGAGGCGGAAATGTTGCAGGACCGTGTGCGCAGATTCGGATGCACGTGAAAGAACCCAAGGTGGTCGAAATCTCCGTAGCCCTTTACTATGGCGTCTCTCATAATCACATGGTGGTTTTTGGATGTTAGGCACCAGATATCAAATCAAGGTGAAACTTTTTATTTGGGCCGAAAATGAGGTTAGTAAATGAGAACTATCATTACAGCAATACACAGCACATAGCCGCGAACAGAGCGTCGGCCGTCGATCAACTCAGATTTGTCGAAGCGTGTCGGCATTTACACACGAGTGATAGAATATTACAATGTTATCGCTAACAGCCACGCAGGTTCCAAAATAACCTGTACTGTTCGCGAAGTCGGCTTGACCATAACGAAAAGATTTACTACAGTACCGAAGATGTTCGAACACTGCAGGTGCGGTTTGCCCTGAGAATTACGGAAAGCCTAAAGGGACGATAACAAAATTTGAGAAAAGAATGTATCAATGTACCACTCTATGGCTAAGTGATGAAGAAAGTTTAATCAGGCTATTTCTTGTTTTAATAAAGAAAATAAGTTTTAAATTTGGCCGTCAGAACACTGACTACGTTCCTGTGTTGCCCCTTCACCGCGATGCACCTGGTCGCCCTTTCGGGTAAATATCATCACAGGAAGGCACAAGATACGCGATGTATGTAAGTTGCTTGTGAGTAGTTGAAAACTGTTGCTTTGATGTCAAGTCCGCGAGTATTGAGCTCGCTTTACACAGTGAGCTCGCTTGGCGTGCCAATTGGGAAGTACGAAAGCTGTAAAGCAGCCTGCACTATCACTGGCACATTCTGTAACTGGGCTGTCGGCACAATAAGTGTACGTAAGACAAAGTGCACACAATGCGCTTTATTTGTCTTGGTCTCTGTGTACCAGTTGGGCAGACAGCCCTGTCGCACAACGTGCCAAATCTGGAAGATGGACAAGGCGCCAGCGAATTGCTCTGAAAGGAGCAATAGCAAACGCGGATCGTCACATTGCCCACTTGATGGAAGGGTGGCTGTGTTGGGTGCAATGCCGTCAATAATAGCATGGCTCCTTTACTACTACCATGTCCGCCTTCTGTTACTCTCTTGACACGTCGTCTCATCTTATCCAGCCGTTTTCTTTCTTTTTTTCGTTTTTTCTTCGTTCTTCTTCCTATCCCCTCCCTTCCTGTCTAAACATGCTATAAGAAGACACGGAAAAGCTGTGAATAGTGTTACGGCTGCAAAAAAAAAGGGGGGGGGGATGCTTCTGTAGAAACGTCGGCTTAATTAACAATTGTTCACTTATACTCATAACCTTGCGGCAACCAAATTTATACTTCGGCATATAGGCCATAGATATATTCATTAGCGTTTTACATAAGGTGCGTGTTTAGAGTTTCACCTGAATAATACATGTGCGATAGGCCGCAGTTGATTTATTCATATTAAGGCTCTACAAGCAGTTCTGTTACTTACCTCAATTGATTCGGACAAAATGAAGAAAGCGATGAATAGAAGAAAGAGGCCATTGACGAATCCCGCTAGAACTTCTGCGCGGACGTACCTGCGTAGATTACCGACAGAAGTTCAAAAAAGACATGTGACTGTTATCTGATAGAGAGCCTTGATAAAGTCTGTCGTGGTTCTGCTTGAACCTAATGGTGATGCTCAAGCCAGCGACAAATACTCAAGCTCTTAGAATTGCATTTATAACGGCTGACACTTATTTTCTTTGGTACACACCACCACCATTACCAACTGCGTAAACACTATGTACACAACAACGGCGCATATATGATGAATGAAGAGACGGTGTGTCAATTAGTTTAGTCAGGAGAGGTGCACATTGTCAACATATGACGGAGGGTGCGATTAAATTGTTGTGCGAGGCCATTCGTCTGTGGATGATATGCTGTCCTCATGCGATGAATCATGTTGCACTGACCAAGCAAGGCTCGAATGGCGTCAGACAGGAAAGTACGTCCTTTGTCGCTATAAGTTCCCTTGGAGCACCGTAGCAAAAAAAAACAAACTTGCGCAAGACAAAAAGCGTGGCTTTTCTTGCGGTTGCTGTGGGTACCCACGTAACGCGTGAGATGGTCCACGCCGACAGTTATTCAACTATTTTCAGCAGACGGCGAGGCGAGCGGTCCATTTAAGTCGATAGCCAGGCGGTCAAATGAATGCGCCAGACAAGGCAGAGGCTGAAGTTTAGTCGCCGGGCGTTGAAATAATTACATAAACCACGCCGGAAGGGCAAGTCGCTTATTTGTGAACACGATTCCAGTCACATTGGTCCCTTTTGCCGGCTGCTGACACAACGCTCTACCCACCAAAGCACGCACATTAGTGACATTTCCCACTTTATCACGTACTGAGAACAACACGTTCACGCCATCATGAGCACCAACGTTTTTCAAATCTTGAGCGGTGGTGCACGTATGGTGTTGCATCTGGATAGAGTGAGGCTAACCCCCTTAATCAAGAACGTCCCCTTCACTCAACGCTTCACTTTCACTTGAGAAAGCCGATGGGAGCGCCATCTCTAAGAACAGTAAGTTACTGCATATCAGGAATAATCATCCAGCTGCGATTCTTGAGTTGCGCAGCGTCATTTTCAGCCGAGCAGTGGCGCACTGCTCAACTCTGTGAAATGAAGGGTGAAAGTCGAGTTGAGGAGCGTTTGTGAATACGGGGGTAAGGCTTACCAGAACACCTGTATCAACGGCACTGCATGCTTGCAGCATAAAGCAGCAATTCCCGCGGAAACATAACAAGAGCAAGAATATATATGCCCATAGGTCATCCACCCACGTGCGATAACACGGTGACGGCACAGCCAGTTCTTTGGTGATGGCCTTCACGCACAGTAATACAGATGACAACACAACACTTCCTTCATCACTAGATCAAAAATGGTCGTAACCCTAACGCTCCGGAGGCCGCCTTTCCCAGTTGCTCCGTCTCAGAGGAATTGTATTATTATTACCGGTTAACCCCAAGTCTGACGGCCTTGGTTCAACCTGAGGGTACGGTTGCACTACATGCAGCGGAGGAGAGGCGGCTTCGGAGACGTGCGGCAGACATAATTCCTGACATAGGGTTTTGGTCGTCGAGCACAGAATCCCGTAAATGATCAGCATGTACAAAATGCACTTGGTTTCAAATAACCACTAAAAACGTTGCTGGAGACTTCACTCACGTAGCTTTACCTGGAAGTCATTTCACCTATTCTCTTCACAAAGAACAAACTAACACACGGTCACCAACCCCGAAATATCGCGGCTTCGCTCTGCGCTTATCGGCTGATTGTTTCACTCTTTCTACTTTCTCGATTATGGCCCTTGTCAGATCAGGACGCACCAAAGACAACTTGGTCTCCAACTGCCTTCTCAACAACAGTTCAGCCGGTGTTTTTCCCGTGAATGTATGCGGCGTTGTGCGATAACTCAACAGAAAGTTATCTATTCTTTGCTGAAATGTGCTTGCACCACCTTTTTCTTTGTCCTCTAATAACTGCTTAAGCAGGGCCGTCTTAGTGATTTGTATGGACCACTCCACTACCCCTTTGTACTGCGGGTAGTACGGGGGTGTGAACAAGTGCTTTACACCTTGCGCTTGCAGAAAGATTTCAATGTCGTCAGCACGGAATTGCGTCCTGTTATCTGTTACTACATCTAAAAGAAGTCCATTCGAGGCAAACAAAGACCGAACCATTGCCACTGTCGTAGCTGCAGTCATCATGCTAAATACTTTAGCCTCTAGCCACTTACTGTAAGCATCAACAGCTAAAAGGAACGCTTGACCTTCCTTCTCAGCAAACGAAGACGCTTTTTTTCCCGTGGGTGCTCGTACAACTTTCACGGACTTAAAGGTGTCAGCTGTGTTGCCGTTTGTACGCTTTGAAAAACGCTGTAATTTGTGTACGGTTTCTTCGAATGTATCATCGATTCTTGGCCACCAAAGCATTCACCTTGCAACCATTTTCATCTTTGTGATTCCGATGTTCATGCAAGAGATTCATGAAAACTCCACAAACAACTTGGAATCACTACCGTAATCATCCAAACAACGCAACCAGAGTCGACAGAGAGTTCCAAACGTCGCACCCAAAATGGTTGTAGTTCTTGCGGGACAGCTTCCGGCCATGCCAAAACATGTCGCGCACTAAGATAGTAGCTTTTCGTGCGTCTTTTCACGCTCTATATCTTTTTTTGTCAGAGGCAGTCCATCCAGAGCGGCAGAGTAAAGAAAAATGCATTCATTTTGATCAGAGGTCTGGGGAAAGGGCAGTCTAGACAAAGCATCTGCTTTACTGATTGCCGTGCCCGGCTGATGTGCAATCTTATAGCTGTAGTTAGATAGGAACCTAAACCATCGGTGTACTCTAGTTGTTGCTACTGCGCTAGCTTTCCTTTTCGGGTCGAGGAGCACGGTGAGAGGTTGATGGTCATTAAGAATCCTAAAAAGTTTGACCAAACGCCTCCTAAAAAAATTATGCCTGGAACATGAGCCACTAACGCGCTGCCCTCCACTCTAAAAAAAAAAAACCAAGTAAGAAGGGTGTCTTTTTGTCTCACAACAATAATCGTCATCAGGCTTGCGTGTGCTTTTTTTCTTGAAAACTCGGCGCTGGCCACTTTCCTATTGAGAATGCAAAGTAACCCTGATAATGGGCATGTCGATTGTGACCAGACAGTACCGGGCGCGGGGCGATAGCGCAAGGATGGATCGCAATATAGATGACGTTTATTGTTGTGGGACAAGGATACCCCCTTTTTACTCGCGCTTTTTTTATAGTGTAGCCTCTGATTTTACCGTCCTCCTTCGGTACGAAGGCGAGCGTCTCCGACGGCCAACCTTTGCGAACACAGCAATGCCCTCACAATTACCTCCGAGCAGCCGTGATGTCACCTGGCAGAGCGGTACGGAGGCGAGCGGTCTCACGCGGTGGCCGGTCGCAACACAAGGCAGAAGGCATGGCCTCCGAAATTGCGTGCTGGCAGGGGGCTCCCAATTGAAAAGAGAGCGACGTTCCAGGCATAGTTCTTCTAGGAGGCGTTGGTTTGACCATACATGTAGTTATGAAATCGCGTCATGCCAAACATAATGCGTAAAGATTCTTTTACTAGTTGGCTGTAATTACGCTCCACCTGCGATATTGAACGCGACTCAAATGCTATTGGCTTATTTGTTCCGCCCAAAACATGTGACAACACAGCCCCCAAATCGTTCTCTGACGCGTAACACGTTAGCCGTACTTTTTTCTTGACATCATACAACTCAAGCACATTTTCGTTAGTGAGCATTTCCCTACATGTTTTAAATGCCTCATCGCATTGACGTGACCAATTCCACGTTGCTTCTTGAAGCAACAAGTAATGCAGGGGCTCTAAAACCGTAGCCAGGTTTGGTAAAAATTTAGAGTAGAAATCAACCAAGCCCAAAAAAGCGTTGAGATGGGTCCCGTTGTCCGGTTTCGGCGCCTGCTTGATGGCAACTGCTTTATCTGCCGTAAGATGCAACCCATTCTGGTCAACTTAATGAGCGAGGTATCTGATTCGTTCTTGGAACAACTTACACTTATCAGTGTTAATCCATATCCCATGTTCTCTTAGGCGTATGAGCGCCTGCTTCAACCTGTCATGTCATTGCTTTTTTTCTACGCCTGCGATTACCACATCATCTTAGTAACAAGATGATCCTGAGAGGACGTGTAGGATCTGATCCATCCCTGCCTGGAACACCGCTGGTGCACAGGCCACGCCATATTGCAAGCGCTGGAACCTGTAGAGCCCCGCGTGAGTTTTGACAGTGAGCAGCTCTTGTGCTAACTCGTTCAATCCGAGCTGTAAGTACGCCTTAGACAACTCCAGACCCGAAAAGACAGTTCCAACTTGTAAGGTTGCAAAAATATTCTTTGGGAGAGGGAGCGGGTACTGGTCCATTACAATGGCAATATTTACGGTGACAAGGTAGTCACCACCTGGCCGAAGCTCCTTGCCATTTTTTGGCACAATCAGCAGAGGTGTCGCCCCTGCACTGTGCCACACCCGATAAATCACCCCAGCTTTTTCTAAGTTTCCCAATTCCTGCTTGACTTGTTCGCGTAGCGCATACGGCACTGATCGCGCCTTACAGAATACAGGTGAAACGTTTTCTTTAACAACAATGCTTGCCCTGAGCCCAACTTCTCGCTCGGTAGCCCGGCGCGTTATTCGTACACTTCGCGGTATATCTTTTGCCAGCACATATTTTTTGAAAGTGTCTTCACTTACATTACTTCATGCTATTGAATTTCGATATTATTCATCCAGTTACGGCCAAACAACGTAGGCATTCTTGCACCTCTCGTCTCTTTAGCAATTGCTAGTGACAAATTTCAGAAATTTCATAATATTCCTTTAAAATCTCGCAATTGCGATGGAGTATACAGGAAGAGGTCCCTGAGTCAGAGACTGAATTGGGACCTCCTATGCAGGCTATACATAAAGAAAAATATGACATTTGCATCTACAGGAAACAGAAAAACTTTCGGTGTGCATTTTGAAAACAGTGGGTAAA